GGCATCTTAGAGAGCTACAATGGATTTTGTACCCGGTAGGCATGTTTTTGCCCATATATGCGATGTATTACAAGAGCTCGCACGCACGGACATGTATCTGAAACGGACGCTCATTCCGTTATTAATGGTCAGAAAAAGATGAACAAGGTATGAAAATGCTTGGAAAAATGTGCCAAATATGATGACAGAGAAAATTTGGCAGATACATGTTGCAAAATGCTATTACGTGCGCAAAAATTTATGCGCTCGCAATGGTGTGCGCACGCAAAATTTTTGAAATGCTTAAAATGGCCTAAAACGTATGCAAAATGAATTTGGGAAGATTTCAAGCATTTTTATTTTTTGCGAGCTCGCAAAATGGACTGGACCGATATTGACCTTAATTATGATAAATATGAATAAAAAATGCTTTTCCGTTATGGAGATATGATCCTGAGTAAAAAGTACCAAAAAAAAAAAAAAAAATGGCGCCTGGATGACGTCATAAAGACTTGATGACCTTGGAAATGTTTCTGTCACGTCTTATGACAATGACCTATGACTGTGCCAAAATTGAACGAAATTGACTAAACTGATCTTGAGTTATCTTGTTCACAAAAAAGGGGGTAAAATAAATAAAAATAAAGAAATAATAAAGAAAAAAGAAAATTCTGACGAAATCAATAGGTGGTCTGTTGACAACAGACCACCTAATTAGTTTTGCATTTTCCCAAACCTCGGTCTATAGATAGACAGAATGATATTACTAAATATGGTGCCTGGCTGGATGGCGGTTTAATGGTGTAGGTCTACCGGTACACAGTTTCTAGTAAAACCAGGGAGATCTGCACATGATCTGCATTTTTAAGTGAGGAAAGACAAGAAACTAACAACCATCATATCACGGTATCAATATGCAATTATGCTCTCCAAACTTCACAACTTGTAGGTCTGAATGAAAGATTTTGTTATGTGTTATTGTTTGCCACAGGCGCCATAGGCCTGTAAACTCACAAAGACCACTGTTCAAAATGAAAATTTGATTATCCATTTATTTGAATGTATTATAAAAAAGTAAATCTTTAAGAAACCATTGTCCTGTATTTCACATGTGAGTGTCCTACACTGAATACAGGTCAGTGGGTATCTCACAAGTTGTACTCCTATGACATCACTATTTTAATTAGAATGGCTAGCAAGGAAACTGCAAAATAAGGAGAGATTTTTCTTCCTTGCTAAGTAATTTCAAGATATTTTTGACCGGCTCTAATTTGTTTTAGTAAGGCTATCACTTAAAATTTGTTGGGTTTCATTCTCCTTAAAGATTACATGTGGAATATTAATGACCCTTGCACCCAAGAAGATCTGGAAGCACTGACCATAGCAACTCCTGAAGAAGAAGGCCACTCAAATATTCTGATGATTTTTATTTATTTGATTTTTTATTTATTTATTTATTTATTTCATTGTTTATGTTCAGATTTTGAATATAAATACAGATCTGTGTTATACCTTCCATAGGTGATAGATATATAATAATAATACATGAGATTTATATAGCGCCATTTTCCATTTTAATTAAATGCTCAAGGCGCTTCAAAAATATTAGGGAACACATTACATCATGACAAAGAACCGTGTACATTTACATAAGAAAGAAAATGAATGAAAGAATGAATGAATGTCTGTCTTCAAAACGCAAAATTAAACGAATGGGATTTAAGGTTGCTCTTAACAGACGTTGGAGATTCGGAGTTCTCCAGCTCCTGTGGAAGTGAATTCCACCGGGCTGGTCCGGCATGAGCAAAAGCTTGTTCCCCCCAAGATTTCTTTGAAAGTGGTATGTGTAGAATACCAGAGTTGGAGGATCGGAGGGTATGTGTGGGTTGGTAGAGGTGAACTAAAGACTGGTTGTATTCAGGAGCTGTTCTGTTCGTGATTTAATGAACTAAAAGAAGGATTTTGAAAATTATACATTCTTTTACAGGCAACCAATGGAGATTTTGTAAGATAGGTGTAATGTGACTATGTTTGCTTGACAGAGAAATGATGTGTGCAGCTGAGTTTTGTAGTTTTTGTAACTCTGCAATTTGTGAATTTGGTAAATTATAGAGTTGACTGTTGCCGAAATCCAGACGTAAAGAAATAAGTGAGTGAACAAGTTTCTCTGTTGCCGAACGAGTCAGATATTTCCGTATGAAGCCAATATTGCTCAATTGATAGCGAACTGATCTGGAAATGCTGGTGATATGTTTAGACATAGACATATGAGAATCATGAATGACGCCAAGATCGCGACATGAATTTGATAAGGGAATGGTGTTACTGGAAATAGAAATGGAGTCTATATTTAATTTATTCAACTGAGATTTTGAGCCGAAAAAGAATGAATTCGCATTTACTATGATTTAATAGCAAAGAATGTGACCTTATCCAGGCGTCAATATCAGCGATGCAATTTTTCAAATTTCGCAAGGTTTGGGAAGCTTGAATTTGATGCGGCGGAAAAGAAACAAAAACTTGTATGTCATCTGCATATAAATGATATTGAACAGAGTGACGTTGATAAACATTTCTGAGACCAATTAGATATGTTGAAAATAAGGTGGGCCCGCCCACAGAGCCTTGGGTTACTCCACAGCCCAGTGGCCTGGGGGAGGATGTGAAACCATTCAAAAGGACAGACTGTGCATGGCATGAACTACAGGATTCAAACCATTCAAGAGCCTATTCCTGGATACCCAGACTTGTAAGAGTATTTACAAGTATTTTGTGGTCTACGGTGTTGAAGACTGAGGACATATCTAAAAGGACCATGGCAGTGACAGATCCGGAGTCCATTTCTCGTAAGATAGAGCTAGAAACATTGATAAGAAGGGTCTCAACATATAAATGCAATGTGAAATTAGTACTAGTAAATACAAAAAATGCATGTATAATTAGCTGCTTAACTATATTGACAAACAATGCAGGTCCAGACTCTCGGGCTTCATAATCTCCAGTGTCCCACACCAGCCTCATCACATCACCTAGCAGAAGCACTGTGTTCCATGCCAAACCTGACTAACTTGACACTCTCTGGATCGGCATTCACTGAGGAGTTCTTCTCTGCATTGAAAGCAAAGGCATCATCCATACAGGTATGTGTGTCCTAATGTAAATGTCATGGAAAGGGTCATTAAAAATGGAAAGTAGTATTGATGATATGATGTACATGCAGGGTTGTTGATTTTTTTTATTTAAATCGGATTTTTATGATTTAAATCAGATTTTTTTGATTTTTTTCCAACGAAAAATAATGGTCACACTTAACAAGTTTTAGACTATATTTAAACTGTTTTACACCAATAATAGTGGTCAAGTAGTCTTTTGAACATTGTGTATTGTACTATTTGACACAATAATCCACTTATATACAGGTAATTTTTTTATTTTTTTTATTTATTTATTTGCATGATAGAGAGGGACATTTTATGGAAGCCCAAGTAATGTTATGTATTATGTATACATTTAAACTCTTGAAATTTTTATATCAGTCTGTACGTTAACATCTAATTTGAATGTAATATTTAACCAGATTTGCAATAGGCACTTCCTGATATGCTTGTAACAAAATACACATTTTATGTTTTCATTACAGTGTAACCTCAGTTCCAAATAAAACTTCAATAAATTTCGTTGCAAGATGCAGGATAAGCACCACTGTCCACCACATCATTGATGTGCTGTTTTTTCAAACTATTACATGAACAAGCAAGCACAGCAGTTGTATTGCTGCATACAGTAACACTTGCCCAGCAACTTTCCCATTTTTAAATTCTTACTTATTAAGTATACATGTGTACTTTGAAATTGTGTAATTGAATGTATGGGTATTGATAAGAAAATACACAAGCATGCAAATATACATGTAATTCTTATCAAATGTACACATATGCCTTCAACTTAAGTAATTGAAAGAATGGGTATTAATAGTAACAAGAAGGAGGTACATACAAGTAGTTCAGCTGTTTTGTAAAAGTATCCAAGTTGTGGACTTTGAGCACCTTTGTAGATTTTATATATTATTTTATTGAAGATTTAACAGTTTGGTGTACATACAGAGAGTTATTTATCATTACTTCGTTAGAAACTTGTTGTTTTCATCAGTTTTGCTTGTTTTACAATTTGAAAATAAAACAGTGGTGTTAAATCAGACTCCATGAGGGTGTATCATTCTTTTAAAGTATCTCTAAAGCATGTGGAACAGAAATGAAAATGATTACATTGAAAGTATCTGTTAAGAAGAAGAGAAAATAGAGAAAACTAATTTTTTTCATAAAAGTTGATTTAAATCAGTGATTTTTTTGAAAAAAATCAAGTGATTTAAATCGACATGATTTAAATCAAACAACCCTGTGTACATGTATACATGTCTTTTTTTATTCCAAATACCTTTTGTTTTTTAAAATCCATTTACCAAAAATGTTGAAATAGTCATGAAATATTGAATGAAAGCAAAGTATAGAAGAATATATTTAATTGAAATTCTAGTGTGTATGAGATTAATATTATTTTGATCACTAATCAATATCCAACCCTTTCCAATTTAGATAAAGGCTTAAATTTACCCAAACTGTTCAATAGCCACATCCTCCGGACTTAGCTTTCTTGTGCACATGAAACCAGAGCTATTAATACCTTCACTATGTTAATAACAAATGCAGATTTCTGGATATTATTTATTTCAGTGTTGTTCGGAGTAAGACTTATCAATGCAAACAGAAAAGGGTTTTTTATAAAAAATATTTAAAAAAAATTTAATCATCCTTCTGATGAAAACTTGAATGTTATACAAGAATTGATTTAAAACAAAAAAATCTATTTAATTATCTTAAGCTTAAGAATGTAAATATAAATACAGCTGTATTATACATACTCGAGGTGATAGACATAAGAATGCAATGAGAAATTAGTACTAGTAAATAAAACGAATGCATGTATAGAGATTAGCTGCTTAACTATATTAACAAACAATGCAGGTCCAGACTCTCTGGCTTGATGGTCCCCAGTTTCCCACACCAGCATCATCACATCACCTAGCAGAAGCACTGTGTTCTATGCCAAACCTGACTGACCTGGAACTCTTTGGAGGGGATCTCACTGAGGAATTCTACTCTACATTGAAAACAAAGGCATCATCCATACAGGTATGTGTATATTAATGTAAATTGTCATGGAAAGGGTCATTGAGAGAAAGTAAGAGCAGTACTAATAATATGGTGCACATGTATATACATGTATGTGTTTTTTCTCCAAACACCCTTTTTTAAAGGCCATTTACTTGGTAAATTGGAACAGTCATGAAACATGGAAGGAAAGCAAACTACACATGGACTGATTCAGTTGAAATTCAAGTTGATATAGGATTTACATTGTTTTGATCAATAATCAATATCCAACCTTTCCCAAATTTGATTGGTATGAAAAATATGTCATACAGTTTTTTTAAGAGCCAAATTTAATAAAGGCTTGAATTTACCAAACTGTACTAACAAACCTCTTGACTTAGGGTCTTGTGCACATGAAATCCAGTCAGAAATTAGTAAGTAAAACATATGCATGTATAGATGTGCTGCTTAACTATATTCACAAACAATGCAGGTCCAGACCCTCAAGCTCATTGATATCACGAGTCCCACACCAGCCTCATTACATCACCTAGCAGAAGCACTGTGTTATATGCCAAACCTGACTGACCTGAAACTTGCTATGGAACTCAATGAGGAATTCTACTCTACATTGAAGGCAAATGCATCATTCATACAGGTATGTGTGTCCTAATGTAAATGTCGTGGAGGGTCATTGAAAGAAAACGAGTGGTAAAAGATTTATGGTGCACATGTATATCTGTTTTTTTCTCCAAACACTCCTTGTTTTTAAAAGGCCTTTCACTTGGTATATTGGAATAGTCATGAAACATAGAAGGAAAGCAGACTACAAATGTACTGATTCAGTTGATTTCAAGCGTGTATAAGATTGACATTGTTTTGATCAATAATCAATATCCCACCTTTTCCAAGTTTGATTGATGTGAAAAATTGTCATATAGTTTTTAAAGAGCCATTTTTTAATAAAGGCTTGAATTTTCCAAACTGCACTGTAGCAACAAACCTCTTGACTTAAGATTCTTGAGCACATTAAATTCAGAGTTATGAATACCTTTAGAACATTGATAGCAAATATATATTTCTTGGTTTTATTAATTTCGATGTTATTAGCAGTAAGATATATCGATGCAAACATGTTGGAAGCCGTATAAAGAATACATATAGAATTGGAGAAAAAAAATCACTCTAATTATCTTCTCCATGGAAACTGCAGTGTGTTCTTTTGCTCAATAGATCAGAATTGAATTTGAAAATACAATCTATTCAATCATTCTTGTTAAGAATGTTATAAATATATCTATGTAATTAATGGAATTTGTGTGAAATGTAAGAATACATTGGGAAGTTAGTAAATAAGACATATGCATGTATAGACGTGCTGCTTATTTAAACTATATTCACAAACAATGCAGGTCCAGGCTCTCAAGCTTGATCATATCCAGGGTCCCACACCAGCCTCATCACATCACCTAGCAGAAGCACTGTGTTATATGCCAAACCTGACTGACCTGAAACTTGCTATGAAACTCAGTGAGGAATTCTACTCTACATTGAAAGCAAATGCATCATCCATACAGGTATGTGTGTCCTAATGTAAATGTCATGGAGTGTCATTGAAAGAAAGAAATAGCGGTAATAGTTATATGGTGCACATGTATATCTGTTTCTTCCTTCTCCAAACACTCCTCTTTTTTTAAAGGCCATTCACTTGGTATATTGGGATAGTCATGAAACATGGAAGGAAAGCAAACTACACTTGTACTGATTCAGTTGAAATTCAAACTTGTATAAGATTGACATTGTTTTGATCAATAATAAACATCCAACCTTTTCCAAGTTTGATTGATATGAAAACTTGTCATGTATTTTTTAAAGAGCCAATTTTTAATAGAGGCTTGAATTTTCAAAACTGCACTGAAGCAACAAACCTCCTGACTTAGGGTTCTTGAGCACATTAAATTCAGAGTTTTAAATACCTTGAGAACATTGATAGCAAACGTATATTTCTGGGTATGTAGGACAAACCAATGCAAACAGGTTTAAAGCCGTATAAAGAATACATATATAGTTTTAATTTTAAAAAATATTAAAAAAAAAAAATAAAAAAAAAATCACTTTATCTAAATAATCCTCTCCATGGACACTGTAGTGTGTTCTTTTTGTGAAATCCAGAGTTATAAATACCTTTAATACTGAAACTAATCTTTTAATGATCTAATTATTAAAAAAAAAAAAAAAAAAAAAAGACTTTGGCAAGATCATATTTAGTCAATTTGTCTGGCCTGTTCATAGTGTTAATGAGGAGTTCTGCTCTACATTAAAAGCAAAAGCATCATCTATACAGGTATGTGTGTACTAATGTATATATGTCATGGAGAGGGTAATTGAACGAATGAAACAGCAGTAATCGTTATAGGGTGCATATGTATATATGTTTTCTTTTTTTGGTGAAAATGACAGAACAGAAACATCTGCGAGATCTACAACTGTTGTTAGATCTAAATGTTCCCATTGATATGCTTAAATTTCATTGTGAGTGGTGGGTGGAAATCCCCCGTGCTGGGCTATAATGCTGGTAATGCTCTTCTGTTCTCTATTGTTCTGTGATCCGCTAGTAGTATTAGAAAAAGTATAAAAAAAAGTATAAAAATTTGTTTTACAGGTAGTTGATTTTGATTTACTTGTCGTTGATACCATGTTCCACTATTATTGCTATAGAGGATACTACTACCAGTACTAATGTAAATTTCTTGCACAAAATTTGTCTTACTCTAGCTTTTGTTAATTGTCCATACTTATTTTTTTTCCTTCTTATTTTCATTTTGATTAATAATAATAATACAAAAAATGTAAATAGCGCTTGTGACAAAAGTTTCAAAGCGCTGTACATGTACACAAATCAAAATTACTAATGGAATTAACATTACTCTAATTACCAAGAAAACACAATAGTAATAACATAACTTAACAAATTATCATTACTTAAATTAACAAGAAGATCAAATATTACTATAACTTACCAAATTAACATTACAAGAAGATCAAACATTACTAGCGAAATTAACAAAACATGTAAATTCCTTGGAAATTAACACATTATATCATTATATCAATTATAGTAATAATTTGAAAAGACAAAATAAAGGCATGGCAATATTTATTCTAAAGGCCCGGTCCCACTCTACTTACGGATGCAAAGAGGATGTAAAACGTAAACAAATCTTGCCATCTGTTGGAAAACGCTATGCATCCGTTGTGTACTCATTGCATACGTGTTTCATACGCTCTATCCGTCGAGCATCCGTCCACTGTGATTTCATCCGCGCAAAAAGTTTTGAGCTGCACAAAACTTTTAGAATGGATGAACTTCCGCCGTGTACGATGTAAATACGCGACAAATACGAGCAACAAACGTTCTATGTCTGTTATCATCCTCTCTGCATCCTCTGGGCAACCTCGCAACTCACATCCGCTGCAGATAAAAACGGAAAGAGGGAGGAAAGATAACGTACATGGGGTGTTTAAACATCGTTAGTAGCATGGAAATAGAAAGGATGTAAGCGTATGCATCTTGTTTATAAAGTATTCAAAGCTGTCATCCACTTCCATCCGCTTTCATCCGCTAGGCTTCCGAAGAACATCCGTTTAACATCCCTGCTAGATACTACCCACGTCCGTTATTTTCCGTTCTGTTTTCGCAAATTTTCGCAAATTTTGTCCATTTCTGGAGCGGATGAAATCGGATGGAGCAACCCACAAAATTTTGGTTGCCGCTGTGTCCTTATTGCATACGTTTTGTGTCCATCGGCCAGTGGGACCGGGCCATAACTTATTTTATAGTTATTTGGGTTGCTTTTGGAATAGATGAGTTTTTAGATTCTTTTTGAAAATGTCAATGGTGGGTGAGACCTGGATATGGGCGGGGAGAGTGTTCCAAAGAGTGGGGGCACAGACTGAGAAGGCCCTGTCACCATAGCGGTTGTGGGTGCGAGGACCAAGTGCGAGCTGGGGTCTGGATGATGATCTAAGGTTCATGCCGGTAGTCTGTTTGGGTGAGATCAGTTCAATCAGGCATGATGGTGCGCGATGATGGATGATGTTGAACGTGAGGAGAAGGATCTTGAATTGGATACGTTGAGGGATTAAGAGCCAGTGTAGGGTGCAGATGTAACTGTAGCTGTTGAGTGTGTATTCCTCAAGAATGAAATAGATCCACTTACTTCAAACTGATACAAGGTTTACAAGCAATGTTGCTATTTTATGTTACAGGGTTGTTTTCCTCAGATCAGGAAAGGAAACTTCAGGTTCAATGGAGTTGCTCAAGATGACTTGAACTCATTTCTTCACACCCTCACATGTTTGCAAAGGTCAGTACAGTATATGTGATGGAAAAAATTCAGGTAACGGCATGTAGACTTTTCATGAATAGTGCGATATATAAAGTATATAATACTAAGAAAAGCTACAATGCTGATACCTCTTCATGGAGCATGCGATAAAGTGATACTGTTTACCTTTAAACAAAATGAATATTTCTTGTCTTACAGTAATGAATATTCAGTAACAGCTTTATTGAACAAATTCCCTATTGAAAAGTGGAATCAGTCAACCTAAATTTTGTTGAATTTTTGTTTTCTTTGTAAATATCTATACTGTATGTAAATATGTATTTTATTTTTTATTTATTTATTTATTTTATTTTTTGGGGGAGGGGGCTGTAGTCTCTTCTTTTCCTTTTTTCTTCTTCATACACTGATCAAAATGTTTCTTGAGACTAGTACTTTCAATAAGACCAATTTTTCTATTTCTCATCTTGCAAACGGATAGTAAGCAAAAATCAGTTTTCTTTATAGCTCAGCCAACTTGGGCAACTCAAACGTTACTCAGTTTCCCATCATTCCTTACAGTCCTTTTCAACGTTATTTTAGGTTTCTTCGCGTGAACCCGGTAAATGCCATCACCAGTGTTACCCCAGACACCCTACCAAGGGGGTTAGATGCAAATATTCCAGTCTTGCAAGAGCCTCGGGACAATGTCATTGTGGAGCAACTTTTACAACAGCCTCGATCCTACCGTGCGTCTACGTCCAGCTCTGCTCTGTTGTGTAACCCTCCAGTCTCTGGATATCATCAACCTGCCATGTCGAGATGGCACATTTTAGATGCACCATTTCAACCAATGATTGTAGAGCGGTCAGGATATAGCCAACCTCAGCCTAGTCAAAATCGCTCCATATCAGGATTCCATTCAGCTTCCCATCATCCGCCTAATGTATGGGAAAGAACAAGTAGACCAGGTTCTTCCAGTCAGGTATCACATTCCGACAACTTTTCGTCCCCAATCCAAAGTACAAGCAGTACTGGTAGAGACCACCCTCAGCAGCAACCCATTGTTGATGTACACTATCCAAGAAGGACATCACCACTATCAGACCACTCTCAACAGCAGCCCATGGGTGATGTACACTATCCAAAAAGGACATTACCACCATCAGACCACTCTCAACAGCAACCTATGGGTGATGTACACTATCCAAGAAGGACATTATCACCATCAGACCACCCTCAACAGCAACCCATGGGTGATGTACACTATCCAAGAAGGACATTTCCACCATCAGACCACCCTCAACAGCAACCCATGGGTGATGTACACTATTCAAGATGGACATTACCTTTATCAGACCACACTCAACAGCATGGTGGCAGTACAACAGATACTATTTGTCAATTCTCTCAGACACACAGAGAGGGTAGCAGCAGTCAGAACAGGCCTGATAAGAGGCCAGCCCCTTCTACTCAGTCAAGAGTTCCACAGGATGATCCTGAAATTCCAGAGAAGCAATCAAAGTATGAAGTCTAGTTGCCATGGTGGTAACACTTCATCTTGACTTTGTGTATGTATGATACAGGGCTCCACACCGACTTTTTTTGGAAAAGAGATTGAGAATTAACTTTTTACAGTCTGTATGCATATAAGCCCTAAGAAAATACTTCCACATTCTGAGGGTTGGGACCTAGATGTTGGGTGTCCATGTGTCCCGGCTGGCCTGTTGGTTTCAAGCCCTGGGGGGTGTTTCATAAAGCCGTTCGTAAAGTTACTCATGACTTTACGAACGACTTGTGTATGAAGTGCCAGATAGGATGCCCAAAGTTTTTCCTGATGTTTTAACAAAGTCTGACTATATTTCCAATAACCTCAATTAAATTATGGCAAAAAATATACTTAGGATTAAAAATGTTTGTTATAATAGGAATATTAATCTACATATGTACAGTTCAACTTTACACACAGCTTTATGAAACACCCCCCTGGAGTGATAGCAAGAAATTTGGGCTAAAAGGGAAAAACTTTCGGCAATGTTCGCAAACGTTTGAATATTTGTAAAAAGGCAGTCTTCTTCTTTTTGTCACCCTGATGAGTACAGTCCACTATCTAGTGTTAGTGTATTACGAGAAAGAGAACATAATATTGTCACAATGTTCAAAAACATGTGAAAGTCCTATGTAGAAAATGATGCAAAACTAGGATACGTTTTGTGAATGTGTACTCAATAAGCCTAAAAACAGAGTTGCATCAAGAGCCCTTTGTGTACACCTGTTTTATGCAGAAAGGGGCCATGTTGTGTGGAAAATGTTTTTGAAAATACTCCAAATAGGATTAATTTTTTACTCGGCTATGATCATGCAAATATGCCTGTGTATAAAAGATGACAACAACTAGTTGTTATAATGATAATAACAATGGCTTCTAAGACAAACTACACATGCCATCATACCATATCACTCAACCATTATTACAATGGTCCTAGGTGGCTGAATATGTAGCGCTTTGGCATATCGGGTGCTGATGTGTACCTGGGTGGAGAGTGGCAAATGTGGATTAATGCCTTGTCAAGGATGTTTAGCCATTATGTTTTAGGTGATTTGTATGCAATGTATGAAATAACACTCAACTTTCACAAAGTGAGTTATAAGGTTATGTATGTAATATTTCAAAATAATTATCTTATTTCAAAATATCACTGTATTTGTCAATGACATTGCACATATGTTCAATAAAAATATAATTAAGTAGAATCTAAAATATCTTGTGAATTAATTTCCGGAAATGACCCAGATGTTAAGAGCCATATTGCTCTTGTTATCATGTCAGCGAACTTGATAGAGCTCAATCGGTATACTTGAGAACTAGCTTTGTCTGGCAAGGGTGTATGTCATAGGCCTGAGTTATCAGTGTAACATTTTCTCTGACATTGTTGTTTTAAATTTAGAAATAAATCCAGTTCTAGATTTTAAAATCCATTTGAGGAAATATTTTTACCGGATTTTCTTCACATCATTCCAGTGTATATGTACATAGGCTGCTATAATATTAAGATACTTGTCTCTTTTTTCAATGTAACATGCATGAGTTATAAGTGGGATATTTTACTTAAAATAGATTATTGTTTGTATATGTTTAACTACATTCACCAGTACTACATAATAAATCTAATTGAGGAAATATTTTCCTGATTTTGTTTTACATAACTCCAGTGTATATGTAAATATGCTGCTATTTCTCTTTGTCAATGTAACATGCCTGAGTTATCAGTGTAATATCTAATTTGACATGGATCATTGTTTGTATATGTTTAACTACATTCACCAGACAGTACTTTACAATAAATCCAGTTGAGGAAACATTTCCTGGATTGTCTTTACATCACACCAGTGTTTGTGTAGATATGCTGCTATACTATTAAGATACTATTAAGATCCACCAGTACTATATAATAAATCTAATTAAGGAAATATTTTCCAGGTTTTTCTACATCATTTCAGTGTATATGTAAATATGCTACTAAAATTGTACCATACATGTTTATTATAATTGTATTCAGTACTGCATTTCAATAATGTTCATGATACATATTCCAGGCTTTTTTTCTTCATATCATTATGATTATGCACTGGCATGATTCATGTATATTTTGAACTTGTATGTTTGCAATACTTGCCTTGTAAATAAGTTTTATATTTTTAGTAAGTTTGCATTCCTGATTGGCTTATAAGATTCAAACATAAATGGAACTATTATGAGCATTCCGTTACCTTGCCTTTTGGCTCAAATCTGTGAGTTTATTCTGAATTATGCAAAAGTACTAAATAGGTCTTTCTATGTACGGTATATTAGATGATCATGAATTACTAAAATGAAGTTGCCTTAAATTTTTCAACATTTTGATGTACCAAGGAGACAAAAGAACTTGTGAATTATAGTTTGATGATGCTGTAGTTGTTAGCGAGTATCCTATTAGCTGAAAAGGTGTCACATGACACTCAACATTTTGTTATATTTCCACGACCGTGCAATATAACAACCTTATTTTGCACTTTATACTGCATGCAAAAGAGAATTAAACTGCGCACATCTCTTCTAGTTCTCTATGCGTACCCATTGTTTGCATTGTCTTAACTGCACGCATCTGACGCGAAGGCAATCTGAAAGTAATCAAGAGGGCATGACTCCAAAGGTTTGCAAATATCCACAATTTTATATAACAAATATTGCATGCATTTCATTGTTTAGTGTTATATGTATTCATCTCCTAATTCAGTATTTTTTTCAGTTCATATGATGATGATGATGATGATGAACAGCATTTGTATAGCGCCATTTATCTGCAAAAGCATTCAAATGCGCCTGGCTCCCTCAATATGTCACATACATACATACATACATGTATACATAATTTATAAATATATGTACGTATTGTTAATCTATGCAAATGTGATTACTGAATGAAGATGTATAATGACATGATAATTTCCTTTGTCATTTTTTTCGATATACATTGTTGCTTATTTTTGTCTATAAATTTTAGCACATATTGTTTTCCTACATTCTCAGAAAAAATGATGATTAAGGCTTCAATTTAAAATGTCAAAATGGTTTATAGTAAATCTAATACATGTAACTATTTTTTATAGATGTGGGTTAGCAATCTATATCTGCTGCGCCAATATTTTATACTTCATAATTGATATGTATCATTTTGATAGCATTGTTCTTAAAGTCCCTGATACAAAGTGTATTACCCTTCAACCTAATCTGACTGATACCAGGAATATGTTAGAACGTCCAAGAAAGGTAGTGAAACGCATCATAGCTGCAGTGGATTTACCATCAATCGAAGATCTGTACCAGAATAATGTCCTTTCTAAAAGTGATACAAATAATGCAGGACCCAAGCTCACATCCACTGAGTGTAAACTGATCAGGAACACACCTGTGTGCACCGCGAACTTAACGTGCATGTTTCCCGGATGTTTCAGACAATCCTTTGTCTCTAAGTCTATTGTTTATCCATCTGTTTAACTCCAAAGCAAGACGAGTTTCACCATCATGAAGTTATTTTGTAAATGTCCAACAGTGTACAGATTTGTCATCTCTCCCTCTCTCTCTCTCTGTTTACTCTTTCTCTTGTTCTATATCCCCTTACTTTCTCTTTCCCCCTCCCCCTCCCACTCTCGTTCTCTCTCTCTCCATCTCTCTCTCTCTCTCTCTTCCCTATCTCTCTTTCTCTTCTCTCCCCTGTACCCTTGCTAAAATTCCTACTTGTGCACATACATTGCCAATACATATATTTCATACTGTTTCTTAGTAATCGGTAATCAATTAAGCCACAAAATTATAATGTACTGGATTGTCTAAACACAACATGATCTAGCCACACTATATCAATGGCACTGAATGTAATATATTGATAACTGATATTGCATAAGTAATACAATGCAGTAAATAAGTAGGTAAGTAACTACCATCAATGATATGGATAATAATACTATTGATGATAATAATGATAATAATAATGATAAGCTCATTTTGTTCTTAACCTTTCTGATGGATTGATTGTAAGGATGACGATATATAACTGAAGTATTTTTTGTATGTTATGTATGTATTTTGTTTCATTGTGTGTATGTTTATATTGTATAACTTGTACCAACCAGCAGAATTCAAATTTCCTGATATGGACAAATTGCAAAAGAAGTCAGGATTATAAGTTGAATAAAAAAGGGAAGATTTAAATATACCTTCTGTATCTCTGATCTCTTTGTATGATGTGAAATATATATAGGAGAGACATGGGAAGACGATGAGAGAGAGTGAGAGGGGGAGGGGGCTAAGAAGGAAGGGAGAGGGAGAGATGAGAGAAACAAATACACTATTTTATAGTGAGTAAGAGAGACAACAAAAAAGAGGTGCGGAAAAGCGAGATGCCTCGAAAACTTAATAACGTGAGTGAGAGAGGAGATTTTTATAAAGTGGGTATTGAAAATAAAGCAGCGATGGACAGCATGGGAAACGGTGATAGCTAGATGACTTTGGAGGGAGACTGAATGAGAAGATAGAGAAATGGTGAGAGAGAGAGAGAGAAAGGAGAGGAGCATCACAAAGGAGATATAGCGGGGGGGGGGGGGAGAGCAATGTTGATGAAGAGAGATACGAAGAAGGGTGAGGAAGGAAGAGGGGGATTGGGGGGGGGGGGTTCAAATAGAGAGAGATACCTGCATGTAGCAATGAGTTATAATGGGGGAAGGGGTGGGGGTTGAGAGAGAACGAGCAGGAGAAACGGTAATTGGGTGATACAGAGCGGTAAGAAACATCAATAATTGTAATAGACTGAGAGGAAAGGGGAGTAGACAGAAATTTAGTGAGAGGAGCAGAAATATGGAGGAATGAAACATGAGAGATAGATAGAGAGAGAACAAAATAGTGAGAGACTGATACCAGGAGAAATGAATGGAAGATTGAAAGGAAGAGAGAGAGATGTCGGATACAAAAATAAATGGATAAAAGAAGAAAGGGATGTTAATATATATATAGATATAATTATTTATACTAGGGATGCATGCTGAGAGACTAAGAAAAAATAGAAACAGAGATAGATCGATAGAGACGGAGAGAAAGTGAGAGAGAGGGCCGGGGATCGAGGGGGGGGGGCAGAAATGAGGGAGACACATACCGGGACATAAATAAACGGAATAGTGGAGGAATGAGAGAGAGAGAGAGAGAAGGGGGGGGGGTAAGACAGATGATTAGAGACCGAGGAAATACATAGGAAGAGAGAGGGGGAGGGGTTGGAGTAAAAGATAGTGAAAGAGAAAGATATAGAAAGGGAGATAGAAAACATTAGAAAAGACAGAGAAGCGATCAGTTGCATTGTCCAGGGGCACGTCAAAATTCAAGACCCTGTCGGGGGGGGGGGGGGGGGGGGGGGCGAATCCCTCAGACGTTCTCGAGTTTTTGCAATTCGAAACCTTCTAGTTAGCTCTCTCTCCTAACGACAATTTTATCCAACAAAGCATTTTTTTTAAGCAGATGTTTCTGCATTTATTGAAAAATCAAATACAAGATATTCATTTAACAATAATAATATATAATATAATTGATTTACATAAAATGTGACAACTGAAATACAACAACAAACAAAAACACACATATAATTCAAAACTTGAAAGTATGGAGGTAAATCAAAGAATCAAGATAAATGCAGATGCCAACTATCATAATGCTTGTGACAGTAGAAGCTGTTGTCTTGTGAATTTTGGGAATCACTTCTATCATTACGGATGGGGTCCTGAATGCCATGCTGCAGTGCCTTTTCGGGTCGCAGGGGCATGCAGCTAGAGCCCCAGCCGGAGACCCAAACGCTCTAAACTCTATTCTATATCCCTTGGAATTTGCACTGCCCTTAATGGTTTATCTCGTTTGAAATCATTTCTCTTTCTCAGTCACACTCTGTTAAGGACAATTTTATAGAATAAAGGTTTTCATATGTTTGCGATGGGGTGGGGTATCCATCCCATCCAATACGTGGTATATTGTTTTTTGTTTTTTTCAATTTAATTTCTCTCTCTCTCTCTCTCTCTCTCTCTCCCTCTCTCTCCCTCTCTTTCTCTCTCGTATATACCTCTCTCTGTCTCTCTCTCTCACTCTCTCACTCTCTCTTTCATTTTCATCTCTTCGAACTCCTCTTAAAGGAGCTACACAAAGAAAATTTACTAACAACTGATAATTAGAACAAATTACATATGGATGGAAAGATTTTCTCTTGAAAAACACGAATAGTTTGCTGAGAAATCATATAGATATCATGGAAAGGCGTAAAATGCAATTTTTCAAGACCCTTCTTAGACCCCCAAGCGCCCCCGAACGTAAGCCAAACACACGAGCGTAGCGAGCTCTGAATAGTGACGTCACACCCTGGACAAACAGCTCGGCACCGGCCGCATACCGGAGTCGCGTGTGTATTAGTCTGCAGCTAGACAGCCGTGTCCAGGGTGTGACGTCACAATAGTGACGTCATACGAAGGACTGCTGAAGGCAGTAAATCTGGATCTCAAAACTAACATTTTTGAAAGTTGATTTCTGCGGGCCCCAAACATATTTTGAAGAGGAAATTTGTTGTATTTGATCAGTAAGGCTTCCCCTTCGCAATGATATGAATTTTGCATCAATTCAATAACACTTTTGCTTCTTAATTGGTGTGACTCCTTTAACCTTCTTTTCTATTTTTTATTTCCGTCGCTCTCTTCCCCCTTTTCAGGCCGCCGAAAAGGAGTGCATGGCCGAATCACCCCCTGGATCCGCCACTGACATGACAACAATCATTATAGGAGACCCTGAAAACTGTCTTACTAATGGCCGATTTCAATCTATAGCTAATTGTGTATAAAAAAAAGAGGAAAAGACAAAGGAAAGCTAGCCTATGAGATCGAGATAAGTGCAGATGAAGTGCTCTGATGAAGGAGAATTTTTGTAGGTCATATACCAGATCAACAATATAATGATTATAATATTATGATAATTGTGATGTAGGCCTACAGCATTGTTCCACACCACACTAGCTGAAGACTGAACTGAACTGTCTGCACTTATATAGCTGTGTACCCCGCGCAAGCGTAGAAGATATCTTTCTGAAAAGTTGTTGTTGTTGTTGTTGAAATTGAAATGTTTGAATATCATCAGTATTAAAATCATAAGGATTATAGGCTACATCCTTATGATTAAAATGCACGATTTAAATGGTGAAGGGAAATGAAATATAATTAATCTTGCACAGTAGCACTTCGCTGAGACAGGTGAGCCAAGTCATGACTCGAAAACAGAAGTCTGGAAAGACAGACCCCCCCCCCCCCCCCCCCCCCCCCCCAATCAGTAAAAGTGGGCCATGAGATCAAGTTCGAAAAGATGAACATGCTGCATTAAAGAAGGAACGCCTTGGCGCAGATCTGTCAAGATTGAAGAGCGCCATCTAAACCCCAACAACAACATTGCTGAAAAGAGCCGGGGATTCCCCTCATTCATTCGCGCGCTCAGTGATCGCCATTTTTCTGCCAGAAATGTGCACACGTCCTGTATTGCCACGCCACCTCGCTTAGCTTTCGAGTTCGATTCAGTGATTGATCTTATTAAATATTTGGATCTTTCTTCAGTTGCAGTAGATTTAGATTGACGTATGTCGACGAAATGCTGCTTTTGTAAACATAATCAGACTGAAGTGAAACAAGGTTAGTGTATTTACTACTGTAACAAATCAGGGTTTTAGTATTGGACGAAGGTTAAGCATTTTCTATTGTCGAGCATGCGCTATAGCAATATGGTGCATCGTTGATTTAGCAATTACCAAACTGAAGGAAAATGAGCATAAATTACATATTTTGATCATGTTGGTGCAATTATCATGTTTCTTTTGGGGATATTACTTGTATAGTAGTGATCTAATCAGGAATAAGGGGTTATACTGAAGATTATATGTGAAGATTTTATGGGATTAGTAGAAATATTGTGTTGAAGTGTTGTTTTACTAACGAGGACATAATTGTTCTTTTACACGTTTATGTATAGGGAAATTGTTACGATGATCAGGGTTGTGCATCTAGGGCTTTCCACTGCACTGTATCCGATACAGGCCAGCCTCACCGAGGCTGGCCTGATAGTTGGCCTGATAATTGGCCTGATAGTTGGCCTGATAATTGGCCTGATAATTGGCCTGATAGTTGGCCTGATAGTTGAGTCTTACATCTAGTTTACACTTGTACTTGTGCTGAGTTAACCCTGAATGTTGGTTGGTTCGCATTAAAAGACTTTCCACATACTACTCGTGATTGGTCTGATTTCTTGGAGCAGTGAAACCGTAGTTAGACGAATGGATGAGAATCAGTAACAGGTATTGACAAAGCATGATTGACTGCTCGAGGGATGTTCAATTGATTGATGATGTGCTCAAGACGTTTTTAGGTGACCGATTGCAATCGATGGACGAATGATTGTTGAGATACGTGTGAGCAGTAAATAACTCCAGCCATTAAGCTACGGGCATATATTTTGTCCAAACGGACGGAGAGCGCCTGGCCAACACGGGGCATCCTGACAAATATTCCGTGTCAAGCCAAGGTGGCAAAAATCGTGTCCGCCACACATGGTGTCAGAAGTGGGATAGCTGATGGCGTGGAGTGGTCGAGCTGATGGAGCTAGGGGACGACGGCAGTAGCACTGATGGAGCTGGGGGACCATGGGCAGTAAGTCTGACGGCGTCACAAGTTGGTATAGCTGACGGAGCTGGGGGACGGCAGGCAGTAAGACTGACGGCGTCACAGCTGGTTGAGCTGGGGGACGACGGGCAGTAGGTCTGACGGTGTCACAAGCTGGTAGAGCTGACGGAGCTGGGGGACGACGGGCAGAAGGCCTGACGGCGTCACAAGCTGGTAGAGCTGACGGAGCTGGGGGACGACGAAGGGCAGTAGGTCGTACGGCGTCACAGCTGGTCGAGCTGATAAAGCTTGGGGGCGACGTGCAGTGAGACTGCCGCGTCACAGCTGGTCAAGCTGAAGGAGCTTGGGGACAACGGGCAGTAAGACTGACTGCGTCACAGCTGGTCGAGCTGACGGAGCTTGGGGACGACGGGAGGTAGCATTGACGGTGTTGCAGCTGGTCGAGTTGACGGAAGTGCGGAACGACAATGGAGAGAAAGAACAATGAGCCCAGGGATGCCTAGATCTAGAAGGAAAGGAAACGAACTAACTTTTGAACAGTTGAACACTTTTGGAAAGAACCATTTTGAACTGTCAGAAAAGACTTGGATTTTAGTTTTGAATTGTTTTGATAACATGTTATGATTTGTTGTTGTTGCATAAGTTATAGATAAGTTAGCTTGGGGACCAAGCTTGGGAGGGAAGGGAATCGTGTAACAAATCAGGGTTTTAGTATTGGACGAAGGTTAAGCATTTTCTATTGTCGAGCATGCGCTATAGCAATATGGTGCATCGTTGATTTAGCAATTACCAAACTGAAGGAAAATGAGCATAAATTACATATTTTGATCATGTTGGTGCAATTATCATGTTTCTTTTGGGGATATTACTTGTATAGTAGTGATCTAATCAGGAATAAGGGGTTATACTGAAGATTATATGTGAAGATTTTATGGGATTAGTAGAAATATTGTGTTGAAGTGTTGTTTTACTAACGAGGACATAATTGTTCTTTTACACGTTTATGTATAGGGAAATTGTTACGATGGTCAGGGTTGTGCATCTAGGGCTTTCCACTGCACTGTATCCGATACAGGCCAGCCTCGGTGACCTGATAGTTGGCCTGATAATTGGCCTGATAGTTGGCCTGATAATTGGCCTGATAATTGGCCTGATAGTTGGCCTGATAGTTGGCCTGATAGTTGAGTCTTACATCTAGTTTACACTTGTACTTGTGCTGAGTTAACCCTGAATGTTGGTTGGTTCGCATTAAAAGACTTTCCACATACTACTCGTGATTGGTCTGATTTCTTGGAGCAGTGAAACCGTAGTTAGACGAATGGATGAGAATCAGTAACAGGTATTGACAAAGCATGATTGACTGCTCGAGGGATGTTCAATTGATTGATGATGTGCTCAAGACGTTTTTAGGTGACCGATTGCAGTCGATGGACGAATGATTGTTGAGATACGTGTGAGCAGTAAATAACTCCAGCCATTAAGCTACGGGCATATATTTTGTCCAAACGGACGGAGAGCGCCTGGCCAACACGGGGCATCCTGACAAATATTCCGTGTCAAGCCAAGGTGGCAAAAATCGTGTCCGCCACACTACAAAAATATAGAGTAAAGTACCCGGTTTTCGGCCACTTAAGACAAAATCCTATTTATTGGACTCTTTACTTCCTATTTATTATCATTTCTTGTTCAAATCATGAAGCAAATATTATTATTATTTAAACAAAAAAAGAATCCCCCAAAAAAATCACGAATTGCCATGACAATATTCATTTCAATTTTCACTGTTTTGGAGCCGGTTATCGGCCGAGCGTTTCAGTTTACGGCCGCATGTACAAAGTCAATGGGAAGCGCTCGCGCGCGCCGTGCGTTTCTGCGCTGATGTATAGCACAAGCGGGCGGAGCAGGTATCCCACGCCGGAGCTCCCGGGTGCTCGCCTGGCCGAATACAGGCACAGCGGTGATCGGAAGTTGGAATCTGAATTAGACAGACATACATGTATCGTGTGTGCGTCGCGGTGTGCGGCTGCATTGATTTAATAGAACAGCTAGTGTCGCATGTATGATGTATTCACCTGTGCTTCTTATTTTTACATAATAGCAGTGAAGGGATGTTCCTTTGTCTACCACAGCAATTGTTGAGGGTAGAATGAGGAACAGTAAATTATGTCCGCTTTCTTTGTCCGTCATGTTCATAGTGATAGTCAGAATGCAAATTGCATGTAGACTATTCCATATGTTGTTAGGACAAGAAATAATGTTTGTCCTACCTACATGGAGCGACAACTATAATGTATGCAATTCACATTCTCACTATTGAAATAAAATTATTTGTAACCGGTGAATGAAATAATTTGTAACGAGGCACTTAACAAATATTTATCTATTAAATTGATTCCATTCCTGTGCCTCTTCTTGGCACTGCTGGGTCGAGAGTCCTTGACTGCACTCCCAGGATCTCTATAGAGTAAAACCGCCAAACTTCGGACGTTGCCAAACTTCGAACAAAATTACTTCAACGGCTCGAACGCAAAATATGAGCCTAGCTCAGGCGGGTAACTTGCATGCATTTGATACTACTACTAACCTATATCGTTAGTACAAAAAGTTAGGGCAGGTTGCCGTCTGCAAAACTCACAAAAAACATCGAATTCAGAGACAGATTTCAGGTTACCTCGATTTTTACAGTTCCTTAACGGGGGAGTTAAGGTGTAGAGCCTCCAATATATCGATTACAAACAAATCCTTGGCATATTTCAGGTGGTTTCTGCCAAAATTATGGGAGCTTATGAGATACTTTTTCACTCTATGGCGAACATTTTCTAATGGCGGCCGTTACCACGGACCTAGGGGTTCTAGATAGATTCCCCTACCAAAAGATGGCGCTCTTCCAAGCTTCGGACAGGCAACATTGAGTGTCATTTTGACTACGAAAAAATAGCGCTTTCGTAAGATTTCAGCACCAAAATATTGTACGAGTGTTGTGAAAAACACCTTTCTGATAGTTCTACCTAACTTAAATCTACCCAAAACGAGAAAATAATACCTTTTTTCATGAAATCAACGCAGTCAAACTTACCCCCGTCGTACGATTTTGATCCGGTTTCCAAACCTCCGATGAATGCGCACTTTAGCGCGCGCGCTATACGTGCGCTATACGTGCGCTACACATGAACGTCCGAAGCTTGGCAAGTGCGTCCGAACCATGGCATGAAAACAGGTTCGGCGGGTAAGTAAATAATTCTAGTTTTCCGTTTCCTTTACTAATTTTCTTTTACATGATATACATAAACAGTATTTGCACAATAATAGTATATTTGATCTTTCAATAATTAAAAAAGAATTTATTGTTTTCCCCCGTTTTGTCTTAAGTGTCAGAAGTTTGGCGGTCTTACTCTATATGGTGTAGACCGTGCAATACATGATGACGCTAATTGCATGCTGGGAAAGGAACCTGGGTGCCCTGATTGGCGACTACAAAAAAAAAATCACAAAATCATTGTTTTTCTGCCCAAATACAGCATTTCTTGAATAGTAACCCTGTGAGGCACAGCTTCTTGGCTGGTCCCAGCCATTTTTCCCAAGGGCGGGCTTCATGAGGCGGGGGCGAAATAGTTTATGGGTTGAAGTAAAGCCCCCAAAACCTTAAGCTATTATTAAATAGATGTAGTGAATTGAAACTCTGAAGGATAGTTATTCCATCTGTTTTATGTACGTAATACAGTCAAACCTGCTTTAGTGACCAACTGTCTACAAAGGCCACATTTGTTGTTTCCCTTGAAAATGGTTTCTCATTGAATCATGTACTATTAAAAGGAACCTGTCTACAAAGACCACCTGTCTACAAAGGTCACTTTTTGTGTTTCCCTTAGGTGGTCGCTATAGACAGGTTTGACTGTATCTATATTTTTAAATATTGTTTTCAGATATTGTCGCCCGTGTCATATCACCATTTTCCAGAGGACTACATTTCTGTAGAGTGAGAAGGACATCTTACACCATGGATGGATTCTGTCTTCTCTATCTGCTCCTGATCCTCTTGATGAGATCTGGTGACATTGAAACCAATCCAGGTCCTAACACTGCAGCAAGGTATGCATAGGCCTACTAGTAGCGCCTTTAGGGTTAACAATGACGTTGAGTTCTGGGCCCTGTTTCATAAACCTTGTTATCAATAACAAGTTACAATAACTTTTATAAGCTACTAGAATAAGCCAGTTCACGGTTGCAGTCTGAGCAAGAGCAGATAAAGGTTATTGCAGAACAAATTGTGAAAAATAGGGAGACGAAATACCGGATACGTGCTCAAGGAAGTTATGTAATCAATATTCATTTATGCACAAGCAGTGCACTCCAGGATACACAGGTGGAAGTATTCTTTTAAAAAGGGGAAACAAAGGCTATTTATGTAGCACCTCCATCGCTGTAGGATTGATTATTTCAAAATGTACAAAGTGGGACTTCTTCATGTTTTGAAGATCTGTGGATATTCTAGGCCATTGCAGAGATGTGCTAACCGTGAACTGGTCTATTGTGGCATTTGTTCTGCTGAGAGCCTAAGATCAGGAATGTCATAGAAATTTAGCATTTTTTATTGATAACAAGTTTTATGAAACAGGGACCTATAGTTCCGTGATTGCTTTGCAAAAGAAATGGTGTGGAAGCGATAGGAAAAGTTGATCATGTAGCACATAAGTATACTGTGAGGTATTGGAGTTGTCAGAATGATAGTTTTGCCCAGTCTTGCTAAAAGTCATATGTACTAGCTGGACACAGAAATGTGTACCGTATTTGGGACTCCACAAACATGGCGGCAGGAAAGTGCATGTGGTCAAAAACAAAATATTTGTCATTTTAAAAAAATGAGGGCATTTGAAGAGCTGTGTTTTTCAGGGAAGATTTTGTTCTATGATACTCTTCCATACAAACATAATAAGTGTGAAAAAGCTCACAATTTTTGTCACCTTTCCCAAAACTCAACCTTCCTATACTGCCTTCAAACTGGCTTCTATTGGAGTCACACCGATGAAAATACTGACTGAATTTTTCTTATGTAAACAAAGGTGAAACCGCCGTTTTCCCTGCTGTCGCTTTCATTCTGCCGGAGAAATTCACTCGCTGTGGCGACCCCTTGCCGGAAGTGAAGAATTATTACGTAATTATTAAGCCCGCGCCCCATCTAGCTGGCATGCAGCATGTTCAACAAAAAGTCAACAAACACAGCTGCATGGTTACGTGAAACGCGCGTAAACTGCGATATTAGGCCATTTTCATCGCTGTTTTAATCACTGTTTTCTCCCGGACGCATTCACAGTGGCTGTTTCATCGGTGTCACACCGATAGAATGAGAATATCTCTTGCTCTTGAGCAGGAGAATTTAATCGCCTATTTCTCTTCTTTTCATCAGCTATTTAATCAGCTTTTTCTCCTCTGTAGCATTCATAGTGGCCGTTTCATCGGATGCGTCTGGATGCGTCCGATGAAAATTAGGCCAGTTTGAAAGGGAGGGGTATTAACCCTATTTAGCCCGGGCTATTTTGAAACTGCATAGCCCGGGGGGGGGGGGGGCTTCTAAGGCCCCCCCCCCCCTATGATCTCGCCCGAAAATTTGCATACATGTCAAGTGAAGTGTATAGAATACTATGGTAATTTCAATTTTTTTGAAAAATTCACTTATTTGCATATTTATGGTAATTTATGCAAGCAAGGTCATCAAATTCACATTTTTGCCCATATATCAGACATTATTCATATTTAAACATTCTTTCTCACTACATATATTTGTTAGACCATTTGGAATAATAATACAACACAAAAATTGAAAAACCAGGGTTATTCCTTATGTTATCTATTGTTTTGATAATTTCTTATGTATTTCTTTGTTTTTTTAACTTATGTATTTTATTGTTTTTGTTGTTTTATTTCATTTCCAACTATAATTCAACTATTTTGACCCCAAAAATAAACACCTTAACTATAAACAAGACCAAATAACCAATGTTTTATCTCTTTATTTGAAAAATGAGATTTTCGGGCTGACATGCAAAGACAAAAGGACACGTGACTTTGTAACGGTAGGTCCGATTTTCGAAAAATTTCTTTCAAAAGATGCGCAAGACTCGAAAGAAAAAAGTCACAAAATTTCAGTGCAAGATTTTCTTGCGTTAAAAAATTATCGCGAAAAATGTCGAGGGGGGGGGCTTCTAAAGCCCCCCCCCCCCCCCCGGGCTAAATAGGGTTAAACAAGGCAAACCACACAATGGTCAGTCATGAATGAGAAAGTGACACTTGAAATCATCAATTTATAGAACAAACTTATAGGGATTACATATATTCTGCATGATACAGATTATGATTATGATGATAAAGGTAATAATAATGAGAATATTAACAATAATGATGATGATAATTGAATAACTAATAATAATGATAATGATAATAATAATCGTCATCATCATCATCAATTGTATTAATATACATTTAAAAATCATCAGTATTTTGACAAGTAGTAAAGTAATCCTTTACTTCTTATTATTATTATCATCATCGTCATTATTGTATTTACCGGTACTGCCTAACTCTGCTTTTTTTTTAATAATTACCCTCGTGAGAAAAATATTGCCTTGACCTGCAACTTGGGGCACTATGTTTCAATCGTTAATATCACAGGCATTATATTCTGATATCCCTAGGCTGTTATATATTGCATGCTCGAGCATGTATGTAATACAAATTGTTGAGTATCACATGAAATTTTCTCAGGCAATAGGATGTTCTCTAACTAACATCCTGTTGTACCCAATTGATTTATTACTCATTTTTACAGTACTGTCAGTGACATGGAGTTCCTGAAGCTGGCCAAGGATATCCAACCATCTTACTACAACGCTGTAGGGACATCTCTAGGTTTCTCCTATGCTCAGCTAGAGAACATCCTGATTCAGAAGTCAAATAGCCATACCAATGCATTTTTTGATGTATTCATGAAATGGAATGTCATGCAGCAACCTCCACACTCAAACAAACGGCAGCTTTTGGCAGACAAACTACGAGAGATTGACTTGGGTGGCTTATCAGACAGATTACTCAATGAACCAAACAGCACAGGTAAACAGATACTAATTATTGCAGTCTTGCTATGTCAACAGAAGATATAGAAAACATTGCATAAAAGTAAAGTCAGTTTTTACCATCTAGATAAAGTGAATGATGCTCTGTGTTCTATACATGTACATTTGCCACAATTTACAGAAGTGTCAAATATTTCAGGCCCCATGTATGTTTTTATAATTTACTAATTTAACTTTATTAATTTTAGATATTTTCTGTACACCAGTTCTTTGAGTGACGGCAGAATTTAATGTTTGTCAGCTTTCTTTATGTGTACACGTTCTTCAAACAAATTATATTCTTTTGCGTCATTTAATTATGATAACTATAATTATGCATCTGCCCATGCACGGATGCATAATTGACTTCATGACTTCATACAAATTCAGACAAACATGTAGGACTTAGTGTCTTTACTTGAGTGCATGCACGTATTTGTAGGTCACACTATTAGCCTCATGCCTTTAAAATCTTTTCAGATGTATCAAAATACATGTTTATGTGTAATCATGGGAATATGGATTATCTATGTATTTTTAGGAGGGCAATCAAGACTGCTCGAATCACAGACCAAACCTCCTTCAGCTGAATCTCAGACCAAACCACTTTCTCCTGGACTGGTTAAGCAGTGTGCAAATGATTTCAAGTTCAAGTACAGGTCAACTGTCTGTAAGATCAGAGCTGATCCTCTCAATCCTGCTTCCACTGTGCAGTTTCAAGACATGTATACTAATCTTGTCCTACTAGAAGAACATAGGACAAAGAAACGAATGCTAGATTACAATGATATCCTTGATCTCAAAGTCAATGGAGAGTTCCCCAAGCGGATCATGGTTCAGGGAGAGGCAGGGGCTGGAAAAACTACATTTTGTGCTAAGATTGCCTGGGACTGGATTGAAGGGAGGCATTTCAGTCGCTTTGTGTGGGTCTTGATTGTTCCTCTACGTGAATTTAAGCAACACACTATTGGCGAGATTGCAAAGTCTTTTCTGGCCAAAAACAATCCAGCAACGGTTTCTCAGATTAGTGACTATATTCAGTCAAATCCTGACAAGGTATTCATCGCATTTGATGGGCTAGACGAAGTCAGTGGCGAAATCATGAAGCCAAAATCCTGCAAATCACAGTCTGCTGATCAAATTCAACTTAGGCCATCACAGCCAAGTGTCAACTCTTCAGGGGCATGTGGAAGCTCATCTGAGACTGGTGATATTAGACTTGTAGATATTCTTTGTTCAGATCAACTTGCCTCTTGCCCAGTCTTGGTTACCACTCGCCCTTGGAGGGCAGTAGAGATTAGATCAGATGGTGATCTAATGAAGCTCTACACATTCATTCATGTTGAGGGTTTCAACAGAAAGAATTTGTCAGTTTACATTCACAAATATTTTCCAATCAATAAGGATAAAGCAAACCAGCTTATCCAGTTCACCCGTGAGAATGATGTCATATCTGAAAACATGGCCCACTATCCTATATATGTAGCCATGTTGTGTCTTATGTGGAAAGAACTTGGTGAGCAAAAACTAAAGGAAATGAAATCATTGAAAACTTTTTCTCAAATATTCAAAACAATGATTGCCTTTCTAAAAGAACATTATGCTCAGAAAAAGGTGAATAAAGTAGGCAGCCCCTTACTTCTTGCCTCTTTGAAAAAAATTGATGAGCTCCTCGGACCAATTGCCAAACAGGCCCTCAATGGTTTGCTAGAAAATACCTTGGTTTTCAGTGAAGATGATTTCGAAATATGCCCAGAATCCAAGGACACTGCCTGTAGGGTTGGGATTTTGTCTCAGGAGGACAGAATTACCACTAGCATGGACATACATCAGGGAAATTCCTATGTGCAATTGCCAGTCTTCTTCCCTCACAAACTGTTTCAGGAGTACATGGCTGGAGTCCATCTTGCTTCCCTGTATGAATCAGATCGTAATGAATTCAAGAGGCTGATTGAGCAAGTAGTGCTGCCAAGGAAGGGGGAGTTTAGGTATCTCCTGTACTTCACTGTGTCACAGAACAAAAGTATTGCAACCCATGTAATGAAGTCTATGCTTCAAGGAATAGACATGAGTTCATTGGGCAGAGATGAAGAGTTACCTTTCATTGTTGATGTAGCCTTTGAGAGTCAGGACCCAGATGTAGCAGCCTTGGTGAGGGACAGGGTTTCATCAGAGGAGATTGAGCTGTACATACATGAATACAGTGGCATGACAGCACACACTGTAGCTGGTTATGCATTCGTTGGACCACATGTGGTAAGTTTAATCATAGTTTGATAAACAAAATTAGTACATCCATTTTTTTACATTACGTCTTTTTGCAATTTTCTTACTGTACAAGAGTATAATTATGTAAGGGTGCATCAAGGAGGTTTAAACAAATAATTTTAAAACTAGAACTGCAATCGGTGATGATATGCATGCATTGATTCCCGCATTTCTATTTTTTGAGCAGATAAATAAACTGAGCAATTAGATCAATGATCCTATGTACAATGAACACAACACACAACAAGGCACATGTCATTGCGCACGTATGTTTTTCTTCCATACACTGTATATGCTTTGGCCTACAAGTACATGTACCGGTATATGGCCTTGCATGCTAACATACCAATACATGACGCATATAGAGCGATACATTGTAATGCAGGATATAACATGGCATCTAAAACTTCCGGATGACAGATTTTCTAAATTGGGCTATGAGACATGCCCAGAGTTTGGCCACCCAGAAAATACTTTTCAATACAATTTCAAGATAGAGAAAAAGCCAAAAGAGGCAAAAATCAGTCTGAAAATTAACTTCATAGCCGATACGTGTTACAGTTGGGCAGAAACCCTGCATAATCCGAATTGTGACCTACTTCCAATTTTGATTTACTCAAAATTTACTGAGTGAACAAATGATATACTGTGTATGGAACCACCTGAAAGGGTATTCCATTGTGGTCATTTTAACCCATTGTCATCCACACTAAGGTACTACATGCATGTCACGCATTATAATGTGATGCATAGCAAATTCAGCATTTTAAAGATTAACCTAGGGATGATCAACGTCATGAAATTTTACCAAAGTTGGCAATCGGCCGTCAAGTAGTTTGATACACGATTACACATGTCTGCTAAGTTTCATAAGTTTTTAAGGAATTATCCTGAAAAGTATGGTTTTCGTGAGCAATTTTTTGCAAAGTCGGTCAGTGGTAGGATGAATTTTTTTGTTGTTGTAGCTGAAAAGTGTATATCTTGAAGTATCTAAATCCATAAAAGGGTACTGATAAATTCAGGCATGATGGAGCTATGGCCCCATAAACATCCATTGTCAGATGCTATTCAAATCATGCATGACTATTGACGTGTGAAATTCAGGAGAAATAGATGTATGTGCAATGCAAAGATAAAGATGCTGTACATATTTCAGACAGAAAGAGATTGATATGACAAAGTTAAGGTAATTTTTCTTTTTCATTGGTCAATATTTAAAGAACTTTAGCGATTTTTGAAAGAGTCGATTTCGGTCTTACATTTAGAGTATGAAGATTGTATTTTGAAGGGCCATTTGTATGGTAAAGATTAAGAGCAACTCTTGCACTATGTAGAGTAATTTGTTAGAAGTCTGTAGCATTTTGGATAGTGGAGATAGGTAGGCTGAAAGAAAGGCATGTAAACGGTCCCGAAACGGTCAAAATGGCGCCTGGACAATCAGTTCAGCAGCTAGTGCACACGATGAGATGGTAAAGCATATACATGTATATGTATACAAAATCTGAAAGGAATTGGGATAGAGAAAGGGACAAAATAAGGAATAACAAGCACTAGCTGCATGCAAAATGAATGTGATTGGGGTGGAAGAGGAATAAGAAAAAGAATTCAGAACAAGCAAATTTACAAGGCATCAATTGACGAGGATGACAATTAATTACAATAAATCTTTGTACTGGTACATAATATATACATGTACATGTACACATTGCATCTGTACCTTTTAGATGAGATGAGATTTGGGGACAGGAAACTTCATACATAATTTGCACATTTTCATCCCTTCCAGAAACATTCTCTTGCCTAATTGAAATCCCAATTCGTGATTTTTGAATGTTTCAGAGGGCACAAAGGAATCTGTTTGATATTATTGGCCCTGTGTAAAATTGGTGTTATTGATTTTACAACTCTTAACATAAATGTACATGATTAATTTTGATCAATTCATCAAATCCATGTCCTGTTTCATTCTCCCTTGGGTAGACTGAAAACATGTATGTGCTCATGCAGGGGGTATCAACATTTTTCTTCTTTGCGAGCCTAGATTTTTGCTCTGTATCCACCCTTTTAATTAAGTGATATTATTCCTATTAACAATTATAAATGATTAAGGTATGAGACACCAGATGGTGTAGACTTACATAATCTCCTTTGAAACCTGTTCTTAGACTTATACTCTCCATTAATTTTGTTTACAGATTCTCTGTTTATTACATGGTGAACTAAGATGAGATTTTCCTACTGTCGCAAAAATAGGAATTTGATATGAAATGTCATGGCAATTGTTATTCAGCCTGTACCCTTAGTTATTTCCATTTCTTTCTTACTCTCTGTAGTTCTAGCAGCACATTTAGGGCAACGGCTCATGTAGGTTACTCATGTATGGCTTACATCCAAGTGAACATCTATATTCTGCATCCCATCAGTAATCACTTTGTCATTTTATCCAGGTTACACTCTATATTGATAGAGGTTGTGGACCTACTATGTCACTTGATGTGGCAGAGATGATATGCTCTATGCCATCCTTGAAGAAAGTTGTTGTTAACGAAGCTGCATTCCACCTTCATTTTTTTGAAACACTTGCAAGGAAAGGAAAAGAATCAAAGGTGAGCAGTTTATCCACAATTGAGATGTTTTCGTTCACATTCTGCCCCATTAATATTTGCAATGACGACCTTCGTCATTGCCTTGTTTTCGTTCACATTCTTCTTATTAATATTCTTGGTTCTTCTTCTTGTCGTCCGGAATCCCATTCGCTTTGCACGTAGTGCTTGTTATTCCTATCTAATGTAGGT